ATCTGAGGGAGATATGTAATTATTAACTACCATATTCACTTAATCAGTATCACCTTTTAGATATAACGTTTATAGTTTAGCTTTCCTGTACTCATCATTTTCACCAACAATGGTGGAGGATAAATACAGATAGTATTTGAGAATTGGAATAGCATGTGGAGTGGAAACCATCAAGGTGTTTCTTAAAGCTCGTCTGGATCTTTATGTGACACGGTTAAGTGTTTGGTAAACATCAATAACAGAACCAGAGCTCTGATACCAATTGAGGGGGAGAGAAACACAAGAAATGGGTGTTTGAATTGAGTTTTGCCAACTATGAACTTTTGTGCGGAATTAAAACAGTGCAAATAAAAATAAATAGACATGATTATTTTTATCCTGGTACACTGTTAACAAAGTTACTCCAGTCCACCCACCAAGGTAATTTTTTCCTTAGACAAGGACTTAATCTAATAATCTCAACAGATTACATCAAAACAACTTGGACTATACGTCCTTGTTGTAAACCACAATGGATACCCTCCATTGTCTTCTTGAGAATTCTGACTATACCCTAGTCTCTCAAGGAACTATCAATAACAGTTGATTACAAGGTATGTACATAAGGTGCTTCTAAAAAGCAGATGACACAAATGAAGTACATTAACATATAAGTGTTCTTAGCAAGATATGACCAACAACTCCTTGCTTTTCTATAAAACTTAGAATAATATCCTAGATATTTACATCCTATCAACATACGTTTTGTGAGCTTATCATTTGGTGCTTGCTTTTGCCTTGCATACATACTGTCGTGTATTCTTCAGCTCTATAACTTCCAGTTAGCTTCTAGCTACAACATCATCTGTTTTTCACTTTTACACTTTCTTTGCTTTGGCATCTTGTAAGCAATACTAGCACTCACACTTTTTCTCTCTCTGCTATCTTTGCTTCAAGCGACTACATTTCTTCTATTACGTACTTCATTCTTGTTTCTTCAAGTCTTCAGATCTTCAATAAATAGAACTTGAGAATAGATTCGTTGGAGGGTATAATAGGAAACATATTCCAGCTGTAATAACCCAACGTTCACTAAAGGGATGGTCACATCATGATACAAAAAAGTTGTCCTTACGCCACCTAGTCTAGGTAGAAGTCACAAACTATTTTGTACTTTTACATTCAGCATTTTATCCAACCATTCTTCATCTTCTGTCTTTTAAGTCTTCAAAGGCTTCAAATGTAGATTTGATTAAGCATGTAGAGAGATCAATACTTGTAACTTCAGAACCTAAGTCTTCAGAATCTCAGATCTTCGTTCACCAGAACTATCTTAAGAGTCTTCAACACTTTGTCTTTAAAAGTGTTGTCTATAGAGACTTTAGAACACGTTTAACAGAACCTCGTCTTTAGAATCTTCAGAACTTGTTTAGCGCATATTTGTCTTTAGAGTCTTTAGAACTTTGTTCAATAGAACCTTGTCTTCAGAGTCATTATAACTTAGTTCAATAGAACCTTGTCTTCAGAAACTTCAAAACAGGTAGCAATAGAAGCACAACCTTTAGAAAGCCTTCAAGGCTTAATAACAAAGTATCCATTAGAAGCTTTAGTCCAAACTTTCTTCAGAACCATTTCAATAAGATCCTTCTTGAGTATTGACTTTGGCTTGTACACAACATATGTTTTCTTTCCAGAGTGTTTAGATCAGAGTCTGATGATGCCACACACCTTTCTATCAGGTTCAGAACCAATTTAGCAATAGCTACACACTAGACATAAACCATAAAGTACATAATTATTCTCTAAGATAATATGTGCAATTATCATCAAAACTTAAGGCCAGATGCAAAACCACTATTGTTCTTACAATCGCCCTCTTTTTAATGACGATAAATAATATATTTTGATAGAGCAATTCGTATAGGGTAATCACCATAAAACTACATAATCAGAGTTAAGCTAACTAGCCTCCCCCCCCTGAAACTGTTACTTTCAAAAACAATTTATGTTTATTCAGAGTCTCCCCCTGATCCCAAGACTTACACAAATAATTTTTAAGTACAAAGCATATAAACAGAGAAGGAATACTTCTCAGAGACGTCTCATCAGAGTCTGACTAATACTGCCTGGTCTTCATCTCAAAACATGGCTTGCTATCAGAGCATGATTGACGTAATCAGAACCTGATTTGTAATATTCGTGATGCTTCGCATCATGTATCAGAGCTAGGTTCTTTTAGTATTTTAAACATATCACCAAAAGGTACAGAAATCAAAATGTCATTAGAAAGTTCGCCCTTTGAACATTTTTTGAATGACCATTTAGATTATCCATAAGATCCACAATCTTTGAAGTGCTAGGTGCTAGCTACCATGCTTTAAGAGAGTTCACAACTTCTGACAAGTCTGAGGTGCCAGGGCATTCATATACATTCTTTCAGATTGTCCTTTGCTTCTAATTAATGAGTGGTCAAAAATCAATATTTCATTTAGTGTTTTATCAGAGAAAATACATCATAGCAAACTCACTTAGAGCTTACATCTTGTTTCTTGAACATATCTTCTGATAACCTGTTCTAACGCATAATGAAATTTTACAAAGTTCCTGATCAATTATTAAACAAAGGTTAGTGGTAAAAGCATATTGAAATATGTATTTGGGATCAAGAATCTTGGAATAGGAATATCAAAATTATTTCACTTTCTCCCCCTTGTCAAAAATCAAAAAGGTAAAACAGATTTAACAATTTTGACAGAAATACTAGTACAGATTAAAGATAAGAAAAATGTTATAAATCATCAAGAGAAAAGTACACAAGAAGCACATTGTTACAAAGAACAACTAGTAGAAATAACAACACGACCAAAAACTTTCAAGGTCTGAGGTTTGTAAGCTCCCTCTGTATCAAATAGTCTTAGAAAAGAAGTTTGTAAGCTCTTTCTAATTTCTATTTGAGAAGTCTTATATGTGAGGTTAGTTTAACTGATGAAAACTCAACACATAATTAAGAAAGATTTTAAACATATAGTATAAAAATTATAAATATTAAAATACAAAAAGTAAGTAATCAAGAAGTAATTAATCAGAAAAATGACAGCGAATAATAGAGAATTATAAAATAAGAAAAGAAAAAAATGCATTCAACTATTAAACTAAAAATACAAAAATGGGTTGATCCTAATGTGCCTAAGGCAAGAAGGAAGCGGTTTTTGAGATGAGCATAAGTGAGCAAGTTCTGGATACTCTTGTTGAATTCTTCTTGCTTTTTAAGTCTAATTCTTAGAAGCTTTTGTTCTTCTTGAATATCTTTTAAGATGTTCATCAATCATGGAAGAAGATCAGCTTCAGAGTTAACTGTTTGACCACTTGAGGTTTATGCAGAATCCTTTTCTATGACAATCGTCTCAGCAACCATACCAACAACTTCTTTCTCCTTTTCTTTAGTCACATCAGTCATCGCAACTTCTCTTTTTCTCTTTCTGCTTGAACTAGTTTTCAGAATCAGCCTTTCAGACGCTCTAATCACATTTGTAATTAAGGACATATCTACCAGGTCTTCGCCATGAAAAGGTTTTCCAAAGATGATTTCTGGTGCAGGTCGAGGATTCAGTATCTCTATAATTTTGTTATCAGTCAAAATAGCAGATATCGGTCTTCCAAAAGGAATCCATGTTCTAGGATTTTTGGAGATACTCTTAGCATGTTTGATAGAAGAACAAAGGTAGAAGAAAAGACATGTTGGTAGATTGATTTTGTCTCATCTAGCCAAATGAAACAACATAAACTAAGTGTCTAAGTCCACAAGTTTGAAAGACTTGGTTGAGAATCAGTGATGGATGCAGCCAATGATGATCATGTGTCAAATCCTTAGATTGCCAAAAAGAGCAGTTGCTGAAGATGAGTCCTTTCCATTTTTAAAAATGATGGGTGTGAACAGTTCTACAAATTCTCCATAGTTCAACGGGGATTCAATCTGCCTAGCATGCTGGTCGTAACATCAAAGGCCAGAATTGTCTTGAAGGAGTATTCTAGCAACGTCAGTTTCACGTATGCATATAACATTTTCCTTAATGTTTGAACCAACCTTGTTGTCATTCGAGACATATGCATTCTTCCAAAATTCATTGACAAGCTCCGGGTAGGTTGGTCTTTTTAGAAGGTCAAATAAACTTTTTCAACTTTGAGTTTCCCGTATTTCTGATAGATCAAATTCAGTAGCAGGTAAATCCCTGAAGTCAACTGTTAACTCAGATAGAACAGACAAATAATATTTTTCAAAATAATATTTAACATTATAAAACTTAACTAACATATAATAAATATTTTTCAAATTAATTATATAATAGTGTTTTAAAAATAATTATATAATAATATTAATTGAAATGTTGTAATGCGAATATTTTAAATAACAAAAGCAATCAACTTAGTGGCTGGGAGCGTCCCTTTGATGCATAAGGTCTTTGGGACAATTCTGCTTTGGATCAAATATTTAGATTTTGGTTTTTAACCTATGGATTTTCTATAAATAGATTTTAGAAAATAGTTCTTAAACATATTATAAGTTTTTTTATATTATTTTTTCTAACTAAAAAATTAATTTTGATATCATTTGATATAATAAAAGGTAGTCGAAATCACAATTTAAAAAATATATATATTTAAAAAAGGAATAATTTTAAAATTAGGTATTTTTTTAAATTTTAATATAAAAAAATTCAAAAAAATGATAAAATATCTAAATCAAATTTTAAAAATGAATATTTAAATCAAATTTTTATGAAAAATCTTTTTATAAATATTTTTTACACAAAGTTATATTACACTATAAAATTATTTTTTTTTAAAATTGTAAAATAAACAGTTTATAGAATATGAATATTGTACACGTGTTGATAATAACCATACGGTGGATAATTCTTCAAAAACTATTGATATGCTCTATACATAAAAATAAATGAATCAAAATTTCACATGATTTGATAACAAGCGGGTTGAAATTTGAGTTAAATTGAATCCATCACTCAAGCAGAAGGTACAATGCATTCAAAGCAGTGTAGTCCATCAAACTCCGGTGCGAACCTCGTTCTCAAACGGGTCGGGTTTTTCTTGTCTCCATCGGGCACTATTGTTTTCGGATCTTCTTTCACGGTGGTTTTAGATGAGGAAGTGCCTTCCTTATTGATGCGCTCTGAATTTCCATCCTTTACCGGGCCCAAACCCAAGGAGACGCTCCATTTCTTGCCCTGCATGACATCGAAGTAGCTGAACATAGACATAAACATGTTTGTTGTGTCGTGTGGATTTGGAATAATCGAGGAAGGATTTGGTTGTTTTGTTCGTTGCTCCGAACAGTTATTGTTCGCTAATTTATATTGAATTAGAGAAGGGTGAGTGAGGAAAGTGGAAGACTGACTTGGAGTTTGCAAGAAGTTTCCAAGAGGGTTCTGGTTTTGCTCTCCAAGTTACTTGGATTGACGCGGGGTTCAACCTTATTCGGACTAGGGAAAGTCAAATTTGATTCAATTGAATATTCAGCAGCTTCTTTTAGTTGACAGAATTCAACTAAATAATACTATCTTTGATGTTATTTGAGAAAAATTATATATTTTTTATAAATAAGATCACAAGAAATATAAAATTGATCCAATTGAATGATTTAATTTGTAGTTAAAAATTTAAGAAAATATTGTAAAATTGTAAATAACAATCATTAAAATGAAAAATATATTTTGAAAAAAAAAACCTCAAAATTAAGTATTATATATCAACTATAGATAATAGACTTGAGAAAACAAATTACAACCAAATTTACTAAGTTAATCTTTTCTATTTTTTTTATATCATGCCACGTTGTTTTTTTAAGGGTGGTTTTGAACTTTTTCTAACTTTTTTATTAATGCAAACGGACTAATAAGCACCACCTAAAATAAATAAAATAAAAAGAAGAATTACAAAAGGAGTGGGCAAAATCAAACCCTCTAAGACATAATAAAACGAAAATTAGAAACACATAACTTGTCCTTAATCATGTTACAAAAAGGCAGTATGATGGATCAAAAATGGAGACAGTCAAGATCTTGACCTCTATTAGCCAAAATATCAGTGCAAGCATTACTCTCTCTAAAGACATGAGTGTGTTAGAAGAAATTTTGGTCTTGACATATTTTCTTTTAGTTTTGATGATTACAAAAGTATTTAAAGATCAATGATTTATTTGATGTGTATTTTATTTATGCAAGTTCTTTTACATGAAAAATTAGAATCTGTTTTGCTTAAGATACATTTGGAGTTGTTTCATTGCTAACTTCTTATGGCAGAGTCTGAAAAACAATTTCTAGTGTGGTTTGACGAAGACTCTGAACTGAAGGCCTCAGTATGCAGACGGGTTTCTACACTTAGTAATTGTATATCAGCTTCTGGTACCATTCAGAGTTGGTGATAAAGTTGTGGACTATCCGTACTACTAAAAGCATGGTGTATTGTCTTATCATCCTGTCAGCTCGAGTTTACAAGATTGCAAGGCTCAAGAAAAGTTGGCGTGTTCTATGGAGGTTTTCTCCCAAAGGCTCAATTAGTACAAAACTTCTTGAAGACTCAAAGGTTAAACGTGTTACACACTGGTTCCTGAAATCTGATGTGCATCCATCTTCAACATCTCTAGTACTATGGAGCAAAAGCAAAAACACTTGATCAAGTCACCTTCTCAACGGCTAGTTTCTGGAAAGGCTATATATATGGCTGAAGATTCAAATCTGAATATTTAACAAGGATTCTTCTGTTGAAGGAGTAGCAAGATCGAGCAATTATCAACTCTATGTAATATGTGGATTTTCGGTTTTAGGTTGTAATTGTAAGAGCCTTAAGATTTCTTACCCCAAGTCTTTGTTATGGTGATCTCCCGTACCTCTGATGTGTGCATCATGTACACCTTGTTCTCTATTCTGCTGAGTCTTCAGTAGTTTAGATTAAGTCTTCTGTTATGTGCTAGAGCAGAAAGTCTTATCTCATTGGTATTCAAGCAACAAGTCTTTGGCCAAGATGCTTAAGCCACATAAGTCTCATTGCTTAAGTGCTTGAGCTGTGAAAGTCTTATTCAGCTAGTCTGATCGAGCAAAAAGAAAGTCTTAGACATGTGCTCTACACAAAGGTAAGTCTCAACCAGAAGACAGATGAGCAGGTGGCTCAGTTTGATGGTGTGAGCAAAGGAAGTCTTAGACATATGCTCGAAGCAAAGGAAAGTCTCAACCAAAAGACAGATGAGCAGGCGGTTCAGTCTGATAGTGTGAGAAAATGAAGTCTTAGACATGTGCTCTAAGCAAAGGGAAGTCTCAACCAGAAGACAGATGAGTAGGCATCTTAGTCTAATGGTGTGAGCAAGGATAAGTCATAGACATGCGCTCTAAGCAAGGAAAGTCTTAAAACAGTTGGTCTGAGCAGTTGTAAAAGTGTAATGCAGAAGCATAAGAGATTGTAATCATGAAGTGGTTATAATGAAAAGCCCATATGAGACAAGAGGATTAGACTACTCTCAGTTAGGGAAGGAACCGGTATAAATCTTTTGTGTCTTCTGTTGTTATTTTATTTACTTTTGCTGTATCTGTTGCCAATTGAATTAACTTAGAATATGAACTTCAATTCTAATTCTGAGACTCTGATATGAAGCTAAATAATAAGAAAATGCGAAACACAATTCAAACCCCCCTTTCTTGTGTATTTTCAACAACTTCAATTGGTATTGAAGCATGGTCTGTGCTTAATATTTAACAGTGGTGCAGATATTGATCCAATAAGAAAAGTATATTTCTTCTTTAAGAAGGCATCAAGTGCCACATGAAATATATCATACGGATTTTCCTACCATATTCAAATGGGTGATTCCATTGAATTTAAATTATGGAAAAGCTAAACATATTTTTAACTCGTTGGACTTGATAAAGGGTTGGTGAAGGTCTATAGAATATCCTTGAAAAATGTATTACTATAGAAGTCGATGGTGTCATAGATGATCTTTTTGAAAATCTCTTTCACCAACTCAGAAGATGCATATTGAAAATCTTTAGAGGTAGTTGCATTCTGGTAGATGCACTATCTCACTTTTGAGTATATCAATATCATTGATATGTATGATGCTTGGACTATCTTTGAAGTCATGTGCTTGGGTTTGTGGGGATCAGTTTTTGAAACTTGAAGTAGTTACACTTCATCTAATCTTTTCAAGTAAATTTTGAGAGGGTTGGTTCTTGACTTAAATCTAAAGTCACAGTTTTTTTGTGATGTTTACATCTTGAATCTGTTGTGTTTTGAAGGTATGTCTTGCAGTTTTTAAAGAAAAGAAATGAAGTTGGATGATGAAAAACTATTCAACAAACACCTTCTCTTTTTAGCTTAAGTTCTTTGGAATGACTAATGATGAGAAACCTAGGTTTCTTGTCAAAAGGAATTTCATACTGGTTAAATGGATTGTGATATTTGTTGATAGAAGAGTAACTTCAAGAGCTTCTAAAATATTTGTATTTCAACTGATTTCCCAAATCTGAAAAACAAAAAGAAAATTCTACCATAACCTAATATCAGATGCTCTTCATTGCTTAATCATTTGAAGTTTATATTAATGCATATCAGATGCTCTTCATTGCTTAATCATTTGAAGTTGATATTAATGCAGGATGTAGATGAAAAGAAGCATCTGTGTTCTGAAATAAAAATCAAGTATCGAAAAGCAATAGATGTTGTTAAAGTTATCTTGTTTCAAAATATTTGATTATATGGAGTTTGTTCTTTAAGGTGATATCTTAAGAAACTCTGTTGCTTCTTGGTTGAGTACCATTATGGAAGTTGTTTTAAAAGACACTTCTATGAGAAATCTTCAACTTCTCTTTGAGATATGTTAGTTGTACTAAGACAGTACTATGATTTGCTTTATGCCAATATCTGATAGCTAACGTCTTCTGGTTCTGAGCTTGTCAATGATTTCAAAGTTAAAAGATTTAATCCAAGATAATAAGATTATTTCCATTGCTCAGAACAAGATTCTATTCATATCTCATTCTAGACTTACACTCTGGAATGACTTATAATCTGCTGTTAGATTGATATGTAAGACACAAAAGAGTTTGTTTCTACTTACATGTATCGTCTTATATAAATATGAATGTTATAATGTATCTACTATAGATATCAAGGAAAGAAACAGAAGCATCTTCCATAAGGTTGTTTACAACATTGATTGGGAGAAGAGCCAACCCAGATTCAAGTACTGGTGGTACTGAATTTGGTGAGAGTAGTGGGATAAGTGGTTAGACAGCCATTGAATCAAAATCCACTCAAAGCTATGTTCAGACAATATTGGTCAAGTCTGAATATTGAATCGAGTCTGACCAAACAAAAAAATATGGTATGTTTGTTCTTGGATGACTTATCTTTTGATTCAATGAGACATTTGTTTAGATATAAATAAAAAATTTATGTTAGATATCTAGAGAAGTTTTTATTTTAAAAAAGAGAACTTCAGAAATCTTTAAGAGGAAACTTTGTTGTGTTTGTCTATACTGAATGACTTATCAAGCCAAATGATGATCACATTTATGAAAACAGTTTTCTCACTTTTGTGTTGATATTATTGCTTATTAGTTGTCTAAAGAAGACAATTCAATATTCATCTATCACTCACGACTCTTGTTTCAATATAAAGTGGTAGTTCTGAATAGAATCTTAGAGACTTGTGAATGACAGATGATATCTCTGTCTAAGTCTAGATTTACTAGACTCTGATGATTGATAGCTTCTGAAAGTTGTCAGTTTCTGAGATTTAGAAGAAGATTCTTTCTGACTATCATAGCAGTTTAAGTAAGAAGTTTTCTAAAATCTCTTATAATACTTAATCTTTCCTAAATATGAAACTTATCTGGTGAAATTGAAATATTTGATGGATAAAGTACCTTTGGGTAATGATGTTTTCTCTTTTAGTACTTGATGTTACTATTCCTTGTCTTGTGAAACATCATTGTGTCCTTCTCTGACGAGATTCTTATTTTTGTAAGATTCTTGTTCAGTTTCTTTTCTTTCTTTTTCTCTTCTTT